GTTTCCCCTCTCCCTTGGAGGATCAGTCACTTCTTAGTTTCTTCTCCACCCTTCTCTTTCCACTTTCAGTCTTGTCAAGAACAAATTTCCCTAGGTGTGATGGTTCTTGCCTGTCACCCAGCACTCAGAGGTGGAGGCAGAAGTACTGCTGTGAGCTCAAGGTCAGCCTGGGGTACTGTATGAGATCCTATCATCAATAAGCAAATAATTGAAAATAATTGAAAAACCAGGACGTTTCCTTCTAACATCAGAAAGTCACTCTCAGCAGATAAAGTGGTGTAGCCCAGCAAACCAGACCCTCCTGACCATGCAATCCACCTCTACTGGGGAACCTAAGGACCTGGGATTTCCTCTTGGTGTTCAGTTCATACTGGACGGCTGTTCCATTTAAAATACAGTTGGTGGCACATGTCTTTAATCCCAGCACTTGGGAGGCAGAGGCAGGCAGATCTCTGTGAGTTCAAGACCAGCCTGGTCTACAAGAGCTAGTTCCAGGACAGCCTCCAAAGCCACAGAGAAACCCTGCCTCGAACCCCCCCCCAAATAAAATACAGTTTTTGGGTTGGAGAGATGGTACAGAAGATAAAAGCACTTGCTGCTCTTGGAGAGGACTCATGTTGGTTCCCAGTACCAACATCATGGCTCACAAGTGTCTATAACTCCCATTCCAGGGAATCTGATGCCCTCTTCTGACCTCTGCAGGCAATAGACATTCACATGGCACATATACATGCATGCAAGCAAAATACTCATATAAATAAAATAAATTTGTCTAAAAAAACCCGAAAACCTGCCGGGCATTGGTGGCGAACGCCTTTAATCCCAGCACTCGGGAGGTAGAGGCAGGTGGGTCTCTGTGAGTTCGAGGCCAGCTTTGTCTCCAGAGCAAGTGCCAGGATAGGCTCCAAAGCTACACAGAGAAACCCTGTCTCGACAAACAAACAAACAAACAAACAAACAAAAATACAGCTCCAGCTGGGCATAGGGGTGCATGCCTTAGTCTCAGCACTCAGGAGGCAGAGGCAAACAAATAGATCTCTGTGAACTTGAGGCCAACTTGGTCAAATAGCAAGTTCCAGGGCAGGTAGAGCTACATAGTGAGACCCTGTCTCAAAAGAAAGCAAAATATAACAACAAAAAAGGTTTGAATGAGAATAGCCCATAGGCTCATATGTTTGAATGTTTAGTCACCAGGAAATGGAACTGTTTGAAAGGATTAGAAGGATTAAGTGGTATGGCCTTGTTGGAATAGGTGTAACCTTGTTGGAGGAAGTGTGTCACTCGGGGAAGAGTTTGAGGTTTCAAAAGCCCACACCAAATCCAGACTCTCTCTGCCGACTGCCTGTGTATCATAATGTAAAGTTCTCAGCTACTGCTCCAGCACCAGGCATGCAGTCATGCTCCCCGCCATGATGATAATGGACTAACCTCAGAAACTCTGAGTCCCCAGTTAAATGCTTTCTTTCCTTCTTTCTTTCTTTTTTTTTTTTTTTTTTTTTTTTTTTTTTTTTTTTTGGTTTTTCGAACTCACAGAGATCCTCTGCCTCTGGAATTAAAGACATGCGACACCACTGCCCCGCCTTCTGTTTACTCTTAAGGTAATGAAAGGTGTTCCTTTCTTTTCAGCCAGGCTTTCCCTGAGTAGCTCAGGCTAGCTTGTAACGCACTATATAGCCCATGCTGGACTTGGATTTGTGATCTTTTTGCCTCTGCTTCCCTATTCTTGAGAATGATAGGCATGTACTACTATGCCAAAATCATGAAAATCATTCCTTTAAATGTTTTAATTTATATTTTATGTATTTATTTTTAATTGCGTATGTGTTATTTTTAATATTGTGTGTGTGTGTATGTTGTGTATGTGCATGTGTGTGTGTGTGTCTGTGTGTGTTTGCACGCTCATCACTGGAGGCTGGATGCATCAGATCCCCTGGAGCTGGAGTTATAGGTGGTTGTGAGCCACCCAGTGTGGGTGCTGGGAACCAAACTGTGTCCTCTTCAATAATAGCACTCACTCTTAAACACTGAGCTCTCTCTCTCTCTCTCTCTCTCTCCCTCCTCTCTCTCTCTCTCTCTCTCTCTCTCTCTCTCTCTCATTCTCTCTCTCTCTCGCTCTCTCCCTCTACCCCCCTCACACACAGAAAGATCCTTGAAGACTTTACTGGATCTCCGTCTTTGCTTCACCCCCTTTATGCTGTGTCCTCTCATTAGTGACCACTTTGGCCTTGTTCACTGCCCTGAACATGCATCTGCTGTATGCTTCTGCCCAGCCCTTGACTGTGACTTCTATGGGCTTCACTGTAAATTCTTTAGTCTTTCTTTACCAATTTCCATGAAAATAAGACCCAGCTAGTCTTGCTCACGCTTCTGGCTTCTGACTGCACTGCCTAACACACTAACACATAACAGGCACTCAACACATTAAATAAACCATGTAATCATGACTCTACAACCCACTCCCTCTCTTGACCTTCAGGCCATCCCAGTAAACGCAGGTTTTTTGTTTTGCTTCTGATTTCATTTCCTTTTGAGACAGATCCTACATAGCCTAGGCTGGTCTCAGACTTCCTATGTAGTAGGCACGGCCTTGAATTTCTGATTTTCCTGCCTTTAACTCCCCAGGACTGGCTCTTTAGACAAGGGCCACCATGCCCAGTCTATGTGGTGCTGGGGATAGAACCCTGGGTGTCCTGAATGCCTGGCAAGCACTCTCCCATCTGAGCTCCTTCCTCATGCTGTGATCTAAATAACCAGGAAGAGGGCATGGGGCAGGGCATGGGGCAGGGGAGCCCTCATCCTAATCTTTAGCCCAAATTACATTGAGGAGGAGGAGAAGAAAAGACAGGGGCAGTGCCCTTCTAGGAGGAGTGAATGCTCCCTAGGCCTGCCCTCTGAGGCCTCAGGGCATCATCACAGGCTCTTCCTGAACTGCCACACATGTGCCACCGGCTCAGCTGTAAAATTTTCTCCAAGTGGGGTCTCCCTCCATGTCTCCAATCTACATTCTTCCTGGCCATGTCTCCCAGTGGAGGCCCCTCACTGGTTAACATGGCCTCATTGGGTCCCTCTACCCCTTGTCCTATCATAAGCAAAGGCAGGCAGGTGGAGAAGGCAGTTGGACAGAGTGGGAAGCAGGATGGAGAATTGACTCAGTGTGGAGGGCTCTTTTTTGTTTTTTTTTTTCCAGCATCTTTACTCATTTTATGTTAAAAGGAGATAAACACTGATCCCTGGGTATTCCAGCACACTTGGGTCTGGCTGACGAAGGACAGGATAAAAAGTGGGTGTGCTCTGGATCATCAGCTTATCACACAAGTGGCTTTCTCCTTGAAGGGATTCTTGTCGTCTGGAATGCCTTTGAGAAGAGGGTCAGCCCCTGCTTGGGCCTCTACATAATCCTTGATTTCCTTTCCTGTCTTGGAAATCTGTAAAATGACAAAAATGGTCACAGCTCTTGGTTAGGAAAATGGGCATGGTAGGGATGAGGTCAAAAAGGAAGAAGGTGGAAGAAAGAGGCAGGCAGGAGGGTGTGTCCCTTGACCTGACCCTCAAACACTTGACAGGGTGCAAGGCCAGCACAGCCTGGAGACAGAGCTGGGCACACTGGGTTCCCCACAGCTCTCAGTCCCTCCCTTGTGCCAAGGAATGTGGAGAGGGACCCCCAACCATCTTCTAGATCCCACCCCAGTCCAGAGATATGTCCTTGGCCTAGTGTCTCCTCTTAGCTCCTGACAGGAGAGATAAAGAAACCCAGAGGAGTGACTGGAGGCTCACCGGATCACGAGGGTTCTTCATTTCCTTCTTCAGCTGCTCAACCTCCATCCTCAGCAGCTCTTTCTCACTCAGATCCTGGGCCATCCTGCCCTTGAGAGAGACCTGGGCACTCACAGAATCGAAAAGTCATGAGCACTTCCCCTTTCCATGCCTCCAAGTCTACACTCTTCCTGGCCACACACCCCAATCAAGGTCCCTCATTGGCTAGCATTTCCTCACTGGATCCCTCCACCCTTTGCTCTGTCTAATCAAAGGCTTAGAAGAAGTAGAAGTGACCGGTCAGATAGGGGTAGCTCAATCTTTGTCCTTGGAAAGAACCTTTCTAAGGAGGAAACAGAAAAGGAAGGAAATGGAGTTTAAGTGTGGAAAAATTTGGGATGAAGAGTGAATGCTCCAAGTGATGACTCAGGGGGATGCTTTGTCGCTAGGTTCTGACAAAGGGACAGTAGACCTAGTGTTAAGACTACAGGTCAGCCAGAGGCCAGCTGTGTGACCCTCAGCTCTGCGGCTCCTTCCTTGTGTGACCTTAGACAAGTCACTTGGCTTCTATGAGTCTTAATTTCCCCATCAACAAGTGAGTATAACAGTAATGTTGCTTTTATTCTTTGAGACAGCGGCTTATGAAGGCCAGGCTGGCCTCAAACTCTCTATGTAGCTGAGGATGACTTTGAACTCCTGAATCTTCTGCCTCCACCTCCTGAGTTCTGGGATTCCAGGCATGCACCACAATACCTGGATTGTGTGTTACTCAGCATGGAAGCCAGGGCTTCGAGCATTTTATCAACTGAGCTCTATCCCTAACACCAGTATTATTGTGAGAACTAAAAAAAAAATAATGCATGGGGGTTGCTCAGCATTTTAGAGCAATTATTGCCCTTTCAGAGGGCAAGGATTCAGTTTCCAGCACCCTCCTGGTGGCTCACAATCCATAGCCCTAGTTCCAAGGGATCCAAGGCCCTCTTCTGATCTCTGTGAGAACCAGGCATGCATGTGGTACACGTACATCCATGCAGGCAAAACATTCATACGCATGAAATAACGAGAAAATAATGCACGGGAAACATTGTCATACTTCCTGGTACATAACGGCCGGGGCACATTTCTTATTTTTATTTCTGACAATGATATATTACTCTAGGGTAACCAGGAGAACCAACCTGGAGCCTAACCTTAGTAATACTAAGACTAGACCCCAGCCCAGTGTGCTCAAAGCCTCCTTACCTGCTAATGCTCTCTCCAAATCACCAGTCCAGGACCCAGACACGATGGTGTTTGAACCTCCTAGAGCCTCATCAGCTGAAAATCTTCAGATAAAGCAGATGGTCAGCAAAGCCTAATCTCTAATGCCAAAGCTGATCCTGAGCTCAGTGTTCTGAGTCCTGATCCCCGAAGCCCTCCACTCCTCCACAGCAGACACTGACAGTCACCCACAAAGTAAAAAACAGGCCACCTCCATTGTGGGCCCTGGACCACATCAGCCGCTCTCCTTCAGTGACCCCCCCCCCCCGCCCACTCTACCCCCACCTCACAGCTTCCCTTCAGCCCACATGCTCCCCTTCCCTGTCTTTTCCCATCACAGAGCCTGCTCCTCCCCAGACAACACGCCCCAGACTGGCTCTAGCTTTCCGGATCCAGAAGCCCTGTGTCTTCCTTTAGGGAGTTCCGTAACTCCACCTTACAAGGGTCTCCAGGCTCACTCTCCAGTCACTCAATAAAAACATACCCTCGCTTCAAAGCTCAACGCTTCAATCCAGGGGCTGTGGTCACCCCAATGCCATGCCCTTTGCTTCTCGGCCTCCTCAACCTCCCTAGGGCGGGGAGCTCCCTTATCTTCAGTTCCCAAAAGCCACTTACAACCTGCTTTTTCTCTCTGCCTCTCCCAGGGCTACCTGATGACTATGACATTTAGCAGAGCTGAGCTTCTGGTCTGGCTGACATTTGTCCAATAGCAAGGGACTCTCTTGAGGGAATGTTAAGGAACCAGTGTGGTTAGTGAGGGTTCCTCTTCTGTCAGGAGGATGGCAAACTGGGAGGGGGAGGGGATGTAGGGGAGGGGGATGGAGGCCATCCTTGCCACAGGATCAAGGCCCACTCACAGCCGGGTGCTCCAAGAACTCAAATTTAGTTCAGAATCATCAAATCCATTCAACTCCCAGCTAATACAATGAGCCCCACTCAACACTCTGTCCACCAGTGACGCCTCAAGCCCACACATCCATCGGGAATGGTGTCATCCCACACCCAAGGCCCTCTTGTTGCTCATCTGAGTCCCTCGTTTATTTGGTCAATTTTATCTTCTCCTGCCTCTGTCAGGCACAAAACACGGGTCACGGGACTTCCTACCTGACCCTTCACAGGCTTGCCCACAGTTCTCCAGGAACTCTAGACGGTCTTCCTGGTGTCTAACCCTGAGACTTCTTGCTGCTGCATGGGCTGTTTTCCATTGTTGCTGCACAGCCAGCCCCCGCCCCCCATGACTTATCTCCATATCCTATCCACCCTGCACTCCCTCATCCCTTGGTGACTCATCCCCAAGCTTCCCAAGGAAGCCCCCACCCTCTGCCCTTTCCTCCCCTCTTCCATGAGTGGAAAATCCACCCCCATAGCAGGCCAGCCCCTTCCTCCTGTCTCTATTACCCCATCCCCCCATGGACTAGCTTCCTCTCCAGGACCAGGGAGCAATCACAGATGCCCGGACCTTGGCTTCCTTTGCCTGGTGAGATTGGGAGGCTGAGCCCCCAAACAGGCCCCTGGCTTCCCCCCTCGTCTGAGCAGGGGACAGAGAAGCACAGGCCCAGGACCCAGGGTCTGACTTCCTCTTGTCCCGGAATGAACATGCCTACCCTTTGCAGGCAGGTTTGGGTCTCTCACGCAGAGGAAACCAAAAGCAGAGAGAGGGAGGGAAGGCAGAGCGGCCAATCAGGGGCAGGGTGAGGCTCAAAACCAGCAGGCTCCCCAGGGAACCCCACCGAGGCCTGAGCCATGGCGGAGCTGCAGCAGCTTCAGGAGTTTGATATCCCTACGGGCCGGGAGGCTCTGCGGGGCAACCACAGCGCCCTGCTGCGGGTGGCCAACTACTGCGAGGATAACTACGTGCAGGTAAGTGGAGAGAGTGCATGCCAAAATACCCCTGGAGGGGACTTGCAGCCCGGTCCCCCATGCAGGGTTATCTGACAGGTGCCTGTTGTCGCCTTGACTGAGCAATCTTCAGGCTTCAGCATCACCCCACATTTTCCAAGCGCCCCCGCACTTGTTCTTTCTTACATGGCCTCAGAAGTAGAGGATGTGTCTACTTCACTCTCTATATAATCCTACCTTGCCCCAGCTCATCTCTCATCTCCTACAAAGACCCACAAGACCCTTTCCTCTCTCAGGTGCTGGTACCATTTGCAGGCTGGCTCTAGGGGAGTCGTCAGGAAACTTACCACACTCTAGGGAGTTTGTTCCTAGATGTTTGAGGGAGAACAGAGGAGGGTCTGACCAGGTCAGGATGAGAGAAGAGGTCTGATGGGGCTTACAGCCTGGCTGCTGAGAAACGACGAGGAAGGAGGAACTCTACAGTAGTCTCAATTTTTTTATTTTTGGGGGGTTCTTGAGACAGGGCCTCACTGTATGGCACAGGCTGTCCTTCAGTTCTCTGTGGCTCAGGCTGGTCCTTCTATCTCAGTCTTCCCTCAGGGCTGGGATTACAGGTTCCCACTGCCTCTCCTGGCTGTTGTTTGTGTCGTGTCATTTTGTTTTGGTTTCTTAAGGAACTGGGAATGGAGCCCAGGCTGTCTGGGAAGTGTGTTTCTGCTGAGTTAAGCTCCACTCCACCCTGGGGTAGTCTTGCTCATCTTGTGCATATTCCATAGCATTGGCTCCTGGGAATGGAAGAGAGGTGGAGGGCCTCGCAACTACCCATCCATCCCCTTGTCAGTCCTCACAGTCACCTTGTGAGACAACTCCTGTTTTATAGATATGAAAACGGGAAAGGAGGTGACACGTCCAGGGTCACCTCGCTCTGGAACAGCAGAGCCAGGCACGGCTTCCCTGACTTCTCACCTGAGGTCCTTCCTCTCCATCCTTCTGTCTGTCTGACACAGTGTATGACTTGGGACAGTTTATCTGCACTCTGTCCTTGGTTCCCTCTGCTCCATTAAGAATGACAGGTTAAGTCTGCAGCCCCTTACCCCTGGCCAAAATGTGTGACAACACCAGGTTCCTCATCCTATATTAAGGGGACTTGAGAGGAAAAGGGAGCAACTGTCTGTGGGAAATGGCAGACCAAAGAGGAGCAATGACAGCAAAGTTCTCTCTGTACCTTCCCACAGCCTCTTTTTTGTCCCTACACCAGTGGTGAGAGGTGAGCACCATTTACACTTCACAGCGAAGAAGCTGATATTCGGAAAGGGTTAAACTGGGATTCAAACTCAGAATTCTAGTTGGTTGTAGTGGCCATATCTGTGATCCCAGCACTTGTGGGGATATAGGAGGGGGACCGCCAAAAGTTTAAAACCTGCCTTATAGTCTCTATGTGAGTTCAAGCCAGTCAGGATTACACAGCAAGACACTAAAACAACACAGAGACCAAAACAACAAATCAAAACCCCAAGCAAAAAAGCAGGCAGAATTCTGACTTAGAGCCCAATCACTGACCCTTCAGACCACAGTGCTGCCTTGCCTGTCATTCTGGTGGGTGTGATGAGTGATCAGCCTGGAGACAGATGATCTGGAATGTGGCTTTTGAACCAGCTCTCTCCCACTACTAGCTCTTGGGCATGCTTCCCTGGCAGGGATGGAAGCAGCTCTTTCCCGCACCTGAAAGCGCTTCTGGTGGGTCCAATCCCATGTATGCAATTGGTGTGCACATGGGATCTGAAGCCAAAAGCTGAGTCCCCAGGTCTACCATCTACTGACTTAGGAATCTATGGTGAGATTCCCATTGGTCTTTCTCTCCTTCCTAAGATCTTCCTTCCTTCTTTCTCTCTTTCTTCCTTTCTTCCTATCCTGACATTGTCACTCTGCAGCTCAGGCTGGTCTTGAATTCATGACCTGTCTGCTTCAGTTCCAGAAGGCTGGGATTCCAGGCCTGAACCATCATTTGGGAGATGGGAGGAGTTCCTCTTAGAAGCTATACCTTCTCCAAGGTGATTATAAGTATTGACTGGAACAGTGTGCTGAAGCATTTGCCCAGGGCCCATCATCCTGTAAGGAGGGCAGGATAAATGTAGCTATAACTGCTGCTGTTACCATGTCAGTAGTGCCGTGGTGATGGAACTCCCTCTGTTGAGGTGACAGCTTTTGCAAACATACTCAGGGTATAAGAAACCCTGACCCAGGTTGGAAATCCCTGGGTTCCTTTGTGCAGAGTGCTGGCTCCTAGACCATGCAATCAATAACCATCCCTGCCTGTCATAAGAGGATAGTTTCGGGTGGTGTCTTTCATACGGTCTCCATCCCATCCTTCGCCCACTAACCAGGTGTCAGAAGCCCATGGGGAACAGCAGCAGGCAGATGGGTCAAGTGTATGGTTCTCAGCCAAGGTTGACTGAGTATACAAACAGGGTGATTTGCATGATGAACAAGCAGCTTCATTGAAGGTTCCCTGACCCTTGTTTCTCCAGCCTGACTGTGGGCCAAGATCAAAGTTAGAGGTTAGAAACAGCCAGGCTGGAGGTACCCAGAGCTAAGCCCAAGCAGATATTTCTTGTTTGGGTTGCTATGTCCATGTGCTGGGCTGGGGAGGGAACTGTCCAGAAGCAGAGAGAGACTTGGAATTAAATAAATAATAAACAAATTAATTCCATTAAATAAAGACCCGGAACAAAGCCTGTAGTCCTTTCTACTTTCTTTGCCTGTTCAAGGCTTTGGGTGGCATATGCTGATGAATGTAAATTTTATTGCATATGCAGATAACATGTAAATAGGCACACACATGAGCATCGCTTTCCTGCTGTTAGAACAGAAAAGTAGGAGGTCCATGACATGGGTTTTCCAGAAGGTTCTAGTTCAGGCTACAAGAGAGGAATCCAGATCCTACTGAGGAGACAGCCCTGATAGTTCCAGCCACAGGTCCTATGGAGCACACGAAGTTCCAAGCCAGGAAACCATCAGTGAACTTGCCTCTTCATATTTGCCTCATCTCTGCCTGCCCCCCCCACCCCCACCCCCACCCCTGAAAGGGACAGGCTTCAGTGCAGCAAGCTTGTGATTGATGGGGAAGGAGGAAGCTGTTTGGGGAAGCAAGACACCCAAGAAGGTTTACCCAGCCCCCAAGTCTGGTCTGGAACCAAAAAAAGTTCTTTTGTCTTTAGACATTCTCTGGGCATCCCTTTTCCCCTGACTGGCAGTGTGGCACTGGCCAGTGTCTGGTGTGCGGTAGGAAGCTGCCCAGCCGGTGTTGGGTTCCCCTTCGACCTGTCCATCAGCCAACAAAAGGATATTTATTTATTTATTTATTTATTTAAGATCTTCTGTGTGCTGGGGACTATGTCAGCTTAGGATGCAGGACAGAATGGCCCAGCTCTCTGTTTTCATGGTACTTATGTTTGACTGCTGGGAGGTGAGGTGAAGGAAAACAAAGAACAGAGAAAGTATGATAATAACAGTGAGCTGGGTAAAAGCTTAGGAAGCGGAGAAGCTGGAATCATCTAGAAAAAATAACAACGCTAAGAACAAGCACCAGGTGTCTGAGGTAGATCCAACCCAGCAGTTGTTAGGGAACAGAACTCCAGTGGTCAGTGTGGCTGGAGAGAAGCAAGGGGTGTGTGTGGAAGGGGAAGGTGGTATTTAAAGCCAACTGGGGTGGCACATATCTGTAATCCTAGCATTTAGGAGCCAGAGGCAGGAGAATCAGGAGTTCAAGGCCAGCCTTGGTTACACAGAGAGACTGAGGCCTATTCTACATGAAACCCTGTCAGGAGGGGGAAAAGAGGCGTATTAGAAAGTTGTCAGAGGGAACGAGAGAAGGAAGTCACTTGATGCTGGGACACAGTGATCTCATGTAAGTTCCCACACACCTGCAGGCAGATTGGGGCTAAAGAAGTTCAAGGTCAGCCGGGGGTTTTCTCCCAACCTCAGTCAGAGGGATCTTTGGTTCGCAGGGTTAGGGTAAGGGTGTGATATTGGTTGGTTGGTTTTTAAATTTAGTTGTCTCCTCAGGCCAGCATCACTTCCCCTCTTGCTTTCTACTCCTCACCATCCAGCCTGCAGAGACACACTTGCTGAGGAAGGCAGTAGGGTCTGGTCCTCTCAACTTAGTCCTTGCCTCCACTATTGGAGGAGAGGACTCCTCCCCAGTCTCCACAGCCAGTTCTCTCAGGCTGCAGACTTGTTTTCTTAATGTCCCCTCTAACCCTCATACTACAACATCATCCTTCCGGAAGCTACCTCCAGCATCTAAGGATGGCAGCATTCTCCAAGTTCAGCTCCTGCCTCCTGTAGATTCTCTTCTGGTCCCACTGGACCTTGCCTAGGAAGCAGTGGAATGTGCTGGCCTCAGGCCAAGGCTGTGTGTATTTCAGGCCACAGACAAGCGGAAGGCATTAGAAGAGACCATGGCTTTCACCACCCAGGCCCTGGCCAGTGTGGCCTACCAAGTGGGTAACCTGGCTGGACATACTCTTCGAATGCTGGACCTACAGGGTGCTGCCCTGCGGCAGGTAGAAGCCAAGATCAGCACACTGAGCCAGGTAAGGGTGTGGGAAGGGACCCCTTCCAGCCCCAGCTCTTCAGTCCTACTCAAATATTGGCTACAACAAGAGTTTCTTGTATTTCTCCATGTCCGGGTTATCAATTTGACTACAGAATGCTGGTACCTTCTGAACTTTGGATACCTCCATCATGGCTCCCCAAGTCTTAGTGTGACTCTCACTACCCCATTAGAAGCAAAGTTCTCTGAAAGCAGCCTCTCTCTCTCTCTCTCTCTCTCTCTCTCTCTCTCTCTCTCCTCTTCCCCTTCTCTTGAGTGTTGCTATGGATATCTAAAAGCTTTGTCTGCCTGTCACAGAACCTGCACAATTGAAATACAGGCAATGATTAATAAGTGTCCTCCACTCAGGCTAGGCAAGCCCATCTTCAGCCCCCGAGTCGTCCCTGCTACCAACTTACAGAGTCCCTACCATTGGCTCATAAATACCCTCAGGCTTCCTTCCTGGGTTCTTGACCCCACAAGGCACATGTTACAATTAGCAAAGTTTAAATTTTGGTCTGACCCTAAGGCCCCAATGGGCCAGGGTACGGAGTGTGTCTTCCTCTTTCCCCTGGAGATCCAAGGTCCCAGCCCTCAAGGACTGAGGGAAACAAGAGGAAGCTAATTCACATATTGGTGACCCTAAAGGGGAAAGCTGACTTGGTTACAATTCTCTGTCACCTCCACACTATGCCCCTCTGCTCCAAAGGCTGCCCTGTCCTTCAATCTCTTCCCAGCATCCCCAGGGATGTTGTTTTTCCCTTTTCTTCTGTTTCCTGCACAGCTAATAATAACCCTCATTCTCTTCTACCAGGAAGTTGCTCCAAAGTGGCTCCATCCTTTCCTGCTACTCTTTTCCCAATTGCTGTATGGCCAAGGGGACAAAACTCACTTTCTCTGGATTTCCCTGCTTTCCATGGCTATTCTTTCCTCCACCCTTCTTTATTTTGAGGTAGCGTTTCACTATGTAGTCCTGGGTGGCCTAGAACTCATCATCATCTAGACCAATTTGGCCTCGAACTCACAGAGATCTACCTGCCTCTGCCTCCTGAACACTCTCTCTCTCTCTCTCTCTCTCTCTCTCTCTCTCTCTCTCTCTGTGTGTGTGTGTGTCTTTCGTTTTTCAAGACAGGGTCTCTCTGTAACTTTGGAGCCTGTCCTGGAACTCACTCTGCAGAGCAGGTTGGCCTGTGCGCCACCACTGCCTGGTTTCTCCCTCTCTTAAAGGGAGTGGTGTTGGACAGGCTGTGCCTCACTGTCACCTCCCAACCCTCTCATGCAGATGGTGAACATGCACATGGAAAAGGTGGCCAGAAGGGAGATTGGCACCTTAGCTACTGTCATGCGGCTGCCCCCTAGCCAGAAGGTCATCCCTCCTGAGAGTCTACCTCCCCTCACGCCGTACTACAGAAAACCCCTCAACTTCAGCTGCTTGGATGACATTGGCCATGGAATCAAGGTAACGGGAGCTTTGCTTGTCCCCTTACTGCCATGTCGTTGCTGCCACCCTCTCCTGCCATGTCGCTCCCTCCTATCTTACTTCTTTGTGAGCTCTTCCTCTCTTAGGCTTCCATGGCTAGGAGCCATGGCCTAAGCTCCTCACTGTCCCAAGGTCCCCAGCTGCCCTCTGCCCTGTACTCACTCTGCTTCTAAAGATCACATGCTGTCCCTGCCCCCCACCCATGGGTACTGGGTGTGTGTGTGTGTGTGTGTGTGTGTGTGAAGGGGAAGGGGGAAGGGAGGGTGTCAGGACACGCATGAGAACCACTTCTTAGCCACATGAGAACAGCAACTTCCTCTGTCTGGGCGTTTGAGGTCACGGCTCTAAGAAGTCACTCCAGAATGCTGGTGGTAGAGACAGGAGGCAGCAACAGAAAGCAGACTTGCTGGAGAGGATATAATCTCATTTTGCCACCACTGCTCCATATCATATTAGATTAGATTTCCTGTATCTTAACCCCTCGATTTTATGCCAGTCCCCGGAAGGGAGAACAAGACTTCTCTTCAGTTCCCAGGTCCCCATGAGTTCTTCCTGTTGTCCAACGTTCTTAGATTTTGTTTTTCCTTGGACAGTGCTGTGGATGGAACCCAGGTCTCCTGTAAGCTCAGCACAAGCTCTGCCTCTGAACTACATGCTCAGCCTCCAGCCTATCCTTTATGCCTCAAGTTCCCTTTCTTGTCTCTAGTGAGGCAGGGTGACAGAGAACCTGGGCCCCAGATGCTCATCCTGGGGAAGTCCCGAAGTTAGAGGTGTATCTTGCATTGGGGGTTGCTTTCTATCATGGAATCTCCTAGGTGCCTTGGGTTCTGCCATCCCTCTGCCTTGAATTTGGGGAGGACAGTTGCATAGGTTTATGGAAATGAGTGAGACAGTTCTGTGTCTCCCCTCTCCATTCCTGTCTTCCTCTCTTGTTGGAGTAGACATCAAATTAGAGTTAAGGACCACCAAGTCACCCAGGTCCTTTCCTATTTAAGATAGTGTGGGCGTGCAAAGGCCCACTCAGTCACTGTGGCTATGCAGAGGAAGAGGTTCTCAGACGAGCTGCCGGCTTCTTTCGGGGAACCTTTGTGGGACCTGCTGCAGACTTAAGACCCTGTGGCTCAGGCAAAGACACCCGCGTATGGGGTGGGGGTAGGGCGGGAGGAGGGCTGGGAAGTGGAAGTAGGAACTTGCTGAGTCTGGCTAGTCCTCCCAGTTCTCCGTGTTCGTCCCTTCCCCAATTCCTCTTAGGGGTGAGGGTGAGGATTGCTCCCCTTATGTCAGATGTCAACTCTATCCCCTCCCTCCAGGACTTGAGCACGCAGCTGTCGCGGACTGGGACGCTGTCTCGCAAGAGCATCAAGGCGCCTGCTACACCTGCCTCCTCCGCGCTGGGGTGAGGCCTCAAGGCCATTCCTACCAGCCCTGCCCAGCTCCTTGGGGTTCTCAACTGCTTCCCTACCCCTTGCCAGCAGCACCTGGTGCCTTGGTATCCCTGAGCCTGGGGCCGATTCTCCCTCCACAAGCCATCCTTCCTAAACCCCAGTTCTGCTCAGCAGAGGCCCCTCCCTCCTTATGCCACCCTTACTCCACTCCCAGGAGACCACCCCGGATCCCCGAGCCCGTGCAGCTCCCAGCCGTGCCCGACGGCAAACTCTCCGCTGCCTCCTCTGCCTCTTCCTTGGCCTCGGCGGGGTGAGCGCTTGAGTCTAGTGGGTGGGTAGACAGTAGCTGGATTTTTAGAGGGCGGCCTCCTATCAGACATCTGGGGTTGAGAAAACTAAGGTGGGAAAAACTCAGGGTGGGAAAAATAATTTGAGGCCAGATTTTTGGGTTGGAGGGACCCTTTGGGGACGCTAAGTTACAAGGCTTCTCTCACGTGTGTGTGCTCCCTCTGGTCTTTAGCAGTGTCGAAGGTGCCAGTGGGACCCCCCAGGCAGCACTTGCAACCTCGCCTCCTCCACCTCCGGCACCTGCAACCCCGCCTCCTCCACCTCCGGCACCTGCAAACCCCCCTCCTCCACCTCCCGCACCTGCAACCCCGCCTCCTCCACCTCCGGCACCTGCAACCCCGCCTCCTCCGCCAGTCTCTGCGGAGGTCTTCTTACCACCTCCTCCGCTAGAGGTGTCCCAGCCCCCTCCAGGTACTTAGTGCCCAACCCCCTCCACCCACACCTTGAGACTCCCATCCGTTCTTTTGGGCTCCAGCCCTGTGCTCCTCAGGAACCCCCGGGGAAATCAAGTGAACCGAGCCTATTTTTACACTAGCCCCGCGTTTGAAGCTTCTCATTTAAAGTTAACTTTGCCAGGACCTTTATAGGCATAATCCACCTGCCTAAGGGTTGCTCAGCAGTGTCTGCCTACCCTGTACTGAGTTCTCCCAAGCACCACCAATAGGCTGGAGGCTGGTTAGATCCTAGGGACAGTGCCACCTATCCCATGCACATACATGTAGTTTTTTTTCTTCCTCCCCAACAGCAGAGTTGCCTTTGCCCCCTCCTCCAGCTCTAGAGGGGGATGAACTGGGGCTGCTGCCTCCGCCCCCACCAGGTTTTGGACCAGATGAGCCCAGCTGGGTCCCTGCTGCGTACTTGGAAAAAGGTACTCTTGGGACCACAGAACACTAGAATCTATTGCCAGGTTTCCGGCCTCTTTAGCCCCGACCTCTACTCTTCATCCCAGAGGCATTTGCTCTCCCTGCCAAGGTGTGACCCCATTTTGTCTCTCCATTCCCCTCCTTTCTGAAGCCTGCTAGGAAAAGAGCAGCTGGCCTGGCACTGACTATTATTACCTGAGCTGGGCAGGGGTGTGAAGACCCAGAAGCTCCCCTGCAGCCTTCTCAGGGCCCTGTATTATGGCTCCCTCTGCCTCCCACGGCCGGG